GTGAGGGTGGGGGCCCCCCCGCCCCTCCCCTGCCGTTACCCCTCCGTCCCGTCACCGACCGGCTCCCGGCTACGTCGTTACGGAGCGGCGCGGTGGGGAGGAGCAGGGTGGGTACCGGGAGAATTGGCGCTCCGCTGCTCGGCCGGCAAGTCGTGCCGATGGCAAACAACCCCCTCGATGGCCTAAATTTTCACCTGCGCTCAAAACTGCGGATGAGTAATTTGGGTTCAGAAAACACTGTCTGTGCTTATAACCAGACGCTGCACAGGGAGTAAACTGGGCACTCGGCACCAACAGGAATTTTCTGTGCTCCGTAAATCCCGAGCGAGACCCTTCGGAATGGCTCGCTCAGCTCAGCGCCGGGGATGCGAGATACCACCAGCACTGCCCCACACCAGCCCTTCCAGCTCCGACACTCAGGGCTGGAACAGCCCGGAGCCAGCGACCTGGGAAATCCGGGAAGCTCAGCGCATCAGCGCTCCCCGGCATTGCTCCGCTCCTGGAGGGATTAAGGCCTTACAAACGTCTGGCCTCCCAGGAAAGGCAACACGTACAGCCAAGCGAGAAGGAAAGCTCCGTTCTCCGGGGAGAAACGCCAAGGACACGGCCGACACCCCGCAGGTTCGTGGGCGGCGCTCGCAGCGCACCCGCAGACCTCCCTTCCCATCGCAGGGGCGTGAGCCTCCCCGCTGCCACAGGCAGGCGCGCCCCGCGCTCAGTGGGGTGTGCCGCCCTGGCTCCTCGTTCCTACGGGAGCGTGTGGTGCATGACAAGCAGGACATACTCCACACACCTGCTTCCCTGCCCGAGTTCAGTAAAGCGCACGTAAACCCTTCCGCTCGGCCACGGCGAGCAGAGCTGGGCTCCCACCCTTCGCCCCCGCTTCTGCATCGTACCGCGCCGTGAAGATCCCTCAGGCGTCGCAACCACTCACGTCAGCAGCTTCCCATACAGAACCCAGAGGACACGTGGTTATTACCTCTTCGTGTTGTGGATTGTGGTCCCGCCCACCCCCGGGTTGGTGCGGTTGAGGTTATAGACAGTCAGTGCCTCTTCGTAAGTTGCCCCTCCAATGATGAACACGATAATATCTTGGGGCCTGCAATAAAGACACCTGTGTTGAGATGGGAAAACCCCAGGATAAATCCTGTACCGCTCCCGGACACTGAGGCAACGATCCCGACGGTTTCTCTCCCCAGATTTCTCTCCTTTTGGGGACGCGCTGGGCTCGAGACCCACAGCGACACGTCGCCCGTTAAACCCCTTTGAAAACACCGTCCCTCCCAGACCTTTACGCAGCGTGCTAACGGGCCTTGGCAGCCTCCCCAGCGACACCCACGCGCTGCGTCCCGGCGGTGCTGCGCCACGCCACGCCCGCCCATGTTTAATGCGTGACGGAGACGCGGCAGCGGCTGGGGAGGGAAGATCAATTCAGGAGTCAAACGAGGACAACGGCGCTGCTACGGAGCTCCCGGGGCTTGGTTTGAAGGGCACGGATCAGCTGCCAGATCACCAGGACTACTGGGATTTGTGCCTAAGTTTACCTCTGGGGTTCCAAACCCCAGAAATAGAGGGTTTCACAGGGAAGTAGAGTGATGGGAAAGCAGGGAAGGAGGGAAGTGCCTTCATCCGACGGGCCACATGCCCCACACATCCTGCTTTCGGAGGAAGGCTGCACCTTCCCTCCACCACCCGCCCCACTCACTGACATTCTCCCCCCTCAGGGACAGCAGAAGGCGCTCGCAACCGTCTACACGCCAAGGGAACGATTTCTGCGGAAGCGACAGCACAAAGGTGCGGATCACATCCTGCCAGTCACCCGCCTGCGTCCAAGTCTCGACACAATTAACGTTCCCTCGCAGTCTCAAACCTCATCCTGGCTC